TTCACCTTTAGTTAAAAACAAACAAAAAAACAGGCTAGGAATTTGAGTAAGAAATCAATCCCCCCTCCCCGAAAAAAAGCTAGACAGAATTTTGGAAAGTGTTGTGAGAATGGGAAAATGACTTTAGTTTTTAGATTTATAAAATGAAAAAAAATTCTAAGCTTTAAATAATACAGGTGAGGATGGGACATTTAGAAAATATGGCTGGCATATATACAAAAAAACACACCCACATCATCCTGGAGATGGGTGTTGGAGGATTTTTAGCACTGAGTCTGAGAGCTAGTCTGAAAACTTTCCATAAGCATCTATCTGTGGATTTCTTCTTGCATTGGGCAACTGTAAGCAGTTTTCTTTTGGGATTCCACTAGAACTTTCTTATACCTAAAGTGACAGAGTATCCTCAAAAATACTTCTCAAAGACCTCTGCAAAGTTGTATGTAGAATTCTCACAATTAACTGGCAGAGGAAGTGCAGAGTGTATTACTGAAAGGTATCTGGAGAATGAAGATCCTGTAGTTGTGTAGTTAATGTTGGGTGCTTGGAGTTAAAAAGAACATCTTTCATGATGCTTCTTTAGAACATATTCCCATGCAACATGCACCTGATATAAAGCTATGTAGTAATTAAGAACAGGAACTTGGTAAGTTGAATTTCCCGGAATTGCTCTGGGAGGTGGCTGGGGCCTAGCAGCTCCCTTCTGACATGAGATCCTGGTGATGTGTCTCCAGTTGGTTTACCTGCCACCTAGACCCTGCAGGTCAGCAGCCACCATGCAAATGCCTTTCTTTTTTGTGGGGGGTACTGGGGATGGAACTCTGGTCCTTGCGCTTGTGAAGCAGGCAGCGGAACCACTGAGCTAAATCCCTGATCCAACGCTATCTCCTTTCAACAGCAGTTACTGCAAGACTGATTCTCCCCAAGAGGAATCCTAGGAAGACTTGAGCCAACATTGGAGGCTTCGCCACAAAATGAAGCCCAGGATCAAATGCAAAGAGGAACATGGAATATCTTGTCCATTAGGTTCTTTCAGATGGTTTGCTAGTTGAAATTTTATTTATAATTTATGTAATGCATAAATAATTGAGATACATCTGTCTAAAACCATGTCAGTGGCTTGGGAGTCATGGAGGTTGGTACATAGAAGATGCCCCTGGAAAGAGGTAAACAGATGATAAAAGGACAGATCTGCTTTGTGTGTTCAACACAAACAAAAAGAGACACTGAGAAAGAGCAGGGGCCGCTAATAAAAATGTCCACAATTGCCTCTGCTTCAGCAAGATAGCTACAATCCACTACACACACGTCAGGTCATGGGCCTTACGGAGATGTAATCTCATGGGGCTTTTCCTATTTCACCCACTATTAGCCCTATGGGGGCAGGTGTCCACAGAGGTTGAGCTCCCCAGGCTCTTTGTGAGGGTCTTCCAAGGACTGTTAAAAAGCCCATAGACTCTGCTTTCCTAGCTTATCATGAGTCCCATTTAGCTAATGTTGGCTGGCTAGGTCTAGGGTTTTTTTTACTTGTTCCTATGACCCTTCCATGATCCTCAGCAAAGTCTCTGCCTCAAGAACAATAACCCTGTACTGATGTCCCAACAGGTTTCTATTTAGGATTGTAACACAACCTAGACTAGGGCCTCTTCATCACCCATATTCTTTACCTGCTGAAAAGGCAGGGGACGGATGAAGATAAGGCCATCCTCAGTGAATTCTGGGTGTGACTACTGAAATGATGATACTTCCAAGGCTCACCCAAAGCTCCAAAATGATAGCCATGATGTTCTGCAGGATATCATTTTTAAATCTCCTCAAGGGATAAAAATATTGAAGTGGCACTTGGATCTAGGAAACATGGTATATTTTGGGCTGGAGTTTTAGTCATAATCTAGCTTCCTTTGGATATTTCATGAAGAATAAGTTGGCAGATATGTCTTTAGTTGGTGACAAGAAGAAAAATTAATTCTTCTTTAACAAATGTAGTTTGCTAGGTGATATCTTACTAAAGGATGGAGATTGCTAGATGTAGGAGAGAGTTGCTGGACAAGGCTTTAGCATGGCAATTTAGGAAGCAGTTAGCTTGGAGCATACGCCTTGCTCCTTTACTTCTGGAATATCTCATCTAAAAGCCCACACCGGGATAAGGACTCTTCCTTGGGGTTCATATCCTACATTATTACTGACCACACTTTGCGAAATTTTTAGCTTACATGTTCTTCTGGCGCCCACCAGAAAAAATTCCACTGGTCTCTTTATCTTTAGTGCATGGCAGAGCTCAAAGCATGGGAGGTACTGAGTACCGGATGCTGAGCTGAGCTGGGCTGGAGTAAAGACATTAGTGAAACACACAAACCTTCCTCCAAAGGACTTTGGAGACAGTGGCTGCAAGCAAGCCATACTATCTCTGGGCCACCTGCACACCCGGATTGAGATGACATCCCTTTTGGAGACAGAGAGTATTTCCAACTTCCTTGGTAATCATTTCCCTGCAACCTAAGATCAGGGCCCTCTCTCCTCCAGCCAATCCCTGCATTTCTCCTGCTTTATTCTATCCCTTTTCAAGGTGAGCCACCTTTCTGAAGCATAAGCCAATTGATCCAGGGGAAAAATAAATCTTCCTTTTAGATCCAGTCAATTTTTGCCTTTCCCAGCCAATGCAATAAAGGCAGTATGCAGCCCATGAATGGCCCACCCGTGCAACCAGCTGAATTTTCTTCCTTCGGTCCTCAACTTAGTTCTTACAGATTTTTGCAGACAAGGGTCCCTACACACACACACACACACACACACACACACACACACACACACCCCAGTACTTCTGTCCCTCCTCCTAGCTGCCTGTTGAGAATTCTATCTTCTAAATGCGGTGTGAGAGTCCATTTCTAGTATGATCAGCAAAGAGGCATGACCCACCATTTTAACCCAACCAATGAGGAACAATACTGGAATATTAAAATTGCACCCTATCCTGAGCAGTCTCCAATACACTTCATACCATTTGGAAATGACTGTGTGTCTCCCCAGTGGATGTGGCATTAATTAGTTATGCATGGTTATTCCCGGTGAAGAGCACATTCATTATAAGTTAGTAAATTTCAATTTTATAGCAGGTGTGTTGAGACTTTTATAAATTGTTCATGTGAGGATAAGCTATATAATTTTACCTTATTTTTTTCTGTTCAGTACAGTGCTCAGGTGCTGACTGAATATATATATAGATTTACATACATATATATTTATATACATATATATGTATCTCACAAGCTACAGTTACTGTGCACCTAGATACGAAATCGATTTTCAGACAAAATACTATGGTATAAACACACAATGCTGCATTTATGGCTTATGAACTTTGCTTTTAGTACTTTACATGAGCCCAGAGAGTAACTCAGACATTTCCTTTCATAATTCCTGGTGTGACTTTGGGAATCACAAATCTGTATCACTGTACTTGAGGATCTATGCCACGGGCTCAGCACTGTGGGGGCTGAGTTAAAGTTTATATCATCAGTGATTTCTTGTATCACATGGGCAGATATGTAAGGCTTAGGGCATACCGAGGCATTTGCAGGGGCTGAGAAAATTCAGGGCCATTGCATCTTGCTTTCCTATTACCTACAATGTTTGTGCTACTGCTTTCTCCAAGAAGACGTTCAGAGCCAATCCAACACTGCACAAGAAAACTCATGGGCACTGTCTTCTTCTTTTGCCTTTATCGCCCTTTCCTGATGATTTCATCTAGCGTCCCTTCTCTACACTCTTGACGCTGCTTTGTTGTCTTCCTTTTTGAAACACTTCAAGTGATCTATTTTGGAATGGGTGCTATGCGGATAATTAATGAAAACAAGCTATTTCCCTTTGTCCTCTGTCTAATAAAGAGATGAGCTAGGCTAATTCAGATTTCTTGAAAGATTTATAAGTCAAAGAGCTTTTAAGAAAATGCCTTTAACCTTCCTCACACAGTTTTGAAAGCAGCCATTCTCTTTCCACAGCCTAGGAAGTAAGTCACCAGCCAGGAAGGACTTAGGCATGCCAGGCTTTCTTGGGGACAACTGAATGTTTCAGACAGTTTTCTCACCATCAGTCTGATAACTCCGCCGTGGAGGGACTGTCTTGTGAATTGTAGGGTGCTCAGTAGGGTTCCTGGGCTGTAACCACTGTTTTCTATTGCTACTTCTCATTTCCTGTCATGGCAGCCAAAACTGCCTGTAGACTTTACAAATGTCCCCTAGTCTGGAGCCACTGCCTTAGAGGCACCTGCTTCCCTAATCCCAGAGATGTGGGAGCTTTCTAGAAAGATTCCTAACAGAAGACCAGGCAGAATAGAATATCAAGATTTTCTCCATCAAATCAGCATTTCTTTTCAGTATTTGCCACCATTCCTTGATAGTCACTTCGCAATATCAAAGCCCATGCACAGAAGGACCCAACAGGCAGGAGAGGAAATATCAATTTACATTTTTCCCAACAGAACAGAAAGGAAGCTCACGCTACTTTGGAAAATGCAACTAAAAGGAAACTCTCAAATGTTTGCCTCTGACTCAACACCTAATTTTCTCAGGCAAAGGCTCATAAACCTGGGAGCACAGGATGTGGTTGGGGAGGGAGCAAACCACCCCAGTGATTTTTATGTATGAAAAACTTCAAGTCCCTTTGAATTCAAGGAGCAAATGTAGTCCAACCTCCTTAATGATCAGATGTTTGCACTCATCAGAAATACATCTCTGGTTGTAACCAAGTCTCTGTTCTCCAGCATTCAGTCTCAAAGAGAATTTACATAACACCATGTGACACGTAGAATGCTTAAAGGCACCAACCATGACAGGACAAATTACACTCATTTTTCAATACTCTTTGCAAGGTGCTCCGCTGCAGGCGCGCGCCGGGCTGCATGCTGGGGTGGTTCTGGGGAGGAGGGGTTTGGTCAAGACCATCATGCTCACAAACACTCCGTGCGTGGGGTCGGGGTAGGGGCTAGTGCCAGGCGGCCCACTTACCCTCCATAGGCCGGGATCGGGGGCGGGGGCGCCGCGGCCCGGAAGGTGTTGTACACAGCGCGGCCACGGCCTCGCAGGTGCGCCCCTCGGTAGGCGGCCGCTGCGGTGGCAGCTGGATATGGGAAGCCGGGCACTGCAGGAGAGGGGAGAGAGCAGAACAACTGTGAGACGATGTGTGTCTTCGTGCCCTGTCATCGAGGGGACCGTTTTCTGGACCCGTTCCCTGCAGAGCCAAAGCAAGACCCCCTCAGTCCCCACCCCAAGGGTCAGGAGGCAAAAAGCAAAAGACAGCAGAGCTGAGGCCAAGGACAAATTCCGGGGAGGAGGAGGGAGGGCAGTGGTCCCTCTGGCCACAACTGCCCACAAGAATATGACCAGTGACAAATCATTCGCAAAGAATTCTTACTACCAGGAGACAAACTCACCGCATAAACTTATATTCTATGAAAGGTAGATTGCAAAGTGCATGTACAATATCTCTCAACCACTGTATATATGTAAAGTGTGGATGCATATTCGTGCTTCTGAGTGTGCAATATACATCTCTGCACATCTGTACAGACATTTACAAACATACTTCCATACGTGAGTAATTATCTTGGAAGCCTAAATGCATGAGTTCACTTTTTATTTATATCTTTCCCTTTATTCCATTTTTTAAAAATTGCCCACATTTCCCTTTATACCATATATGACCGGCCAGAAACTTTTAATTGAAGTATTCCTACAGGTACGGGTATGTACGAGTGTGTCATGAGTGTACACTTGTTTCCCCCTAGAATTGATGGATAACAACATACCACTATCTCCATAGCATTCTGTGAAGCTTCTGAAAGCATACACAGCCAGGCATGATGGAACAACACACCTACAACCCACCTCTCTCGGAGGCTGAAGCAGGAAGTTCCCAAGTTGGAGCCCAACCTGAGTAACACAGCAACTTAGTGAAACCCTGTCCCAGAATTTAAAAAAAGCAAACACAAGTGCTCCAAACACAGATGAAGGAATGTGGAAAAACAAGCTCTTGGGATTCTTCTCCTGGATGAAGTCTCTTAAGAGAGGTGAGGAGTCAGGAGGCAAGTGGAGCATAACTAGTCCTTGAGATCCCTGAAACTTCATTCAAGGGCTTCTGTCTGGGAGGTCCTTGCTCCCATGGCATGCAGGTGGAACTCCCAGGTAGCAGGACCTCTGAGCACAGTCCTAGCTATGCTCTACATGCCTGTCCTAGCTCACATAAGAGGAGGAAGTGCTCCTTCAGCAGCCACGTCCCACACAAAGTGTGTTTTCCTGGGAAGAGGATTTGAGAATCCACTGTCCCAGCAGAGTTGCAGTAACAGCTCGGGAAGCCTTCAACGAAGTAAGCTGTCTAATTTACTTAAACCAAAACATCCAAATTCTTCTCAGGCTTCCAAAGAACACCCAACCTCTCCCAGAGTGTTACAGTTCATAGTGCGCCGAAGTCCTCTTCACCCTGTGTGCACACTGCCAAGAGACGCCACTTGGCCCCTTCCCACCATCACCTTTGGGAATAGAAGCGTCGCACCCTGGGTCTTCTCATCTCCTTCGGGGGCCCATCCGTGCATGCTCGTGCTCAGACCCAGGTGTGGCTTAGGAGAGGAAAAAGGCAAACAAAACAAAACAAAACAAAACAAAACAAAAAACAATAACCAAAACACCATAGGAAGAGAAAAATGTGTGCCTAAGAAACCAGGAATTGCTAGCCGCTTCCTGGGAGGTTGACAGCGAACGTAGAGGTGTGAGACTGGGAAGAAGCTTGTGGTTCCGTGGAAGTGGGAAGAGAGAGTGGTGTTTCCCACAGAAGCCGTTCTCAGTAACAGGCCACCTCTGGGCTGGAATAAAGCCCTGGAGCTTTGTGAAGGACCACCTGGATGTGATGATCTGAAATCCTTTGTGTGATCTTTAGCGGTGAAGAGATTCTACCGCAGTTTTCTCCTGCAACGTTGGTAAAACGCTGGGCTCACTGATCCAAGCCAGAATGATCTCATCCTTCTATTTGTTTGTGCAAAGACCATAAAGGTTATTTTTAACTTTTTATTATTTTTGTTAAGGACAAATCGTGCATTTTCAGTCGATGCTCCTTGCCAGCCCCCAGCACCTGACTCTCTTGGATGGCATTTCCACCGACGTGTTGGGAATTGTGGGGAGACATGAGTCTCACTGGGGAAAACAAGTAAATCCGAATATCATCAGGCTGGCAGGAATGAGATAGGAGAAGCTTGCTGCAGGACTGGAGAACAAAATGAGTGGGAAGGGCTTGGGCTCCCAATCTCTTTTGCCACAGTTCAAATATTAAGTTTTCATAGGAACACCGTGGATTTTGAAATAAAGAAAATGAAAAATGAGCAATCTGGCAGAGCAGCTGGCTCGCCTGTGCGAGGAAGCACGGTAATTATGCTGACCTATTCATTATCACTGGCGGTGGGGCCGTGTGAGTGAGACAAGATCCCTATCAGCGACAAGCAGGGTTTACAGTCCTTCCGGGAGGATTTAGATGTTGAGATAGAACATGAAACAGAAGCTCAGCGGCGGGGCAGGGGAGCGTGTGCTGCTCAGATTCCAGGAGACCAGGAATCTATTTGTGTCTCTTGGTTCCAGGGAGAAAATTTCGGTCCCCCTGCAGAGCGAGGGGTTTCCAAGGCCTAATACCTGGCTCTCTGCTGGTTCCTCCCAGCAGAGCGGTTGCAGGATTCTTATTCTATGAAAGGAACGCAGTGAGGACCACAGAGCAGTTCCTGGCTCAGATGTTGCCTTCAGGGAGGCCAAGTCTCCTGGGCAAACAGAGCTTCCAGAGCACCCTGGGGTCCAGAGGCTGCTGGGGAACAGCATGGAGCCTATGGGGCTCCCTGGTTAGGGGTCGCTCAGCTTGCTCTTGTTGTCAGGTCAGTCTAGAACCGGCCTGGGGCCTCTTTGTAGCTCCGGTTAGGCATCCCAGTCAACGGGCGTTTCCTCATTCCCTTCTTGGTTTTCCTTTCATTTCCTTTCATCTTTCCCTTCATGCTTCGTTTCATTTCTTTATTCCATCCTCCTTCTCTTTAATTTCATACTGCCTTTCTATCTTTTTTTGTTTTTTCAAATCTCACCCTGAAGAAGACTGCTCTGGTCCTTCCCCAGTGCATATAAAAATCATGTAGCTCGAGGTGGATGTGGTACTAACTGCCTGGAATCCCTTCAGCCTGGGAAGCTGAGGCAAGAGGATCAAAAGTTCAAGGGTGGCCCGGGCCATTTAGTAACAAGGCAAGATTTTATCTCAGGGCTTTCCATCTGCTCTGCTCTGAGCTTAGAGGAGCTCCTGGAATCACGCAGGTAGGAGGTACCAACACTTGCCTGGTCACCCTGTTAGTGCTTAACCTCCTTCCTTTTAGAAGGGTGGTACCCTCGACTTCACTACCCACCTTTCATCACACGGTCCAGTGTACCGAGTGGCTGCACATAATCACTACGCAAACCACACAACTGGGTCTTGATCCAGTCAGGATCTCTAGAAAGGCCAGGGCTACATCGGTCCAGAAAATACAACCAAACACAAGATACCCCCACGGAAGAAGACAGCGCTTGGAGAAATGCATTGTGTTTGGAATTGTCAGAACCCTGAACTTATTTAAATTCTCTTTGACTGCAGCATAGATGCCAGGGTTTGGAAATGTGTCCTGTTCTGGGAAGAAAGCCTGAGACCCACAATACCTACTAAAAGACATTCAGTCACATTGTTCCCTCCAGATAGCCTAGGTAGAAGTATCCTCCCTCCACCTAGTAGTAACAATTCCCTGAACACTAAAGATCTGTGCACAACATGGAAAACAGAAAAGAGCGACCAGGATAATCCCAAACTCATCTGATTTGTACCCGTACCTTCTGTGTTCCTTGACTTCTCTAATGTTAGAGAATTTGTTTTTCCCTGTGGTAGGCAGCTGATTCAAAACAGCATGGCTCTCTTCTCATGCCACTAAGACAATGGTCAATTTCAAGGGGGGAAAAAAAAACACAAGTATTTATCAGGACTTCTTTAGACTTAACATGCAATGGAAGGAGTGAATGTTTTTCTCACTTTCCTACTGGTCTAGTGGCTTGTAGATGCTGAAACATAGTTAAATGTATATTTGAAACAATCATCTGGACAGATGACTCAGATACAGTTTAAACAAGACCAAACCTGTTTTATCCTTTAAACATACAGGAAAAAGTTCTTAATTATATGCTTATTTTATTGCATGACACTTTTGTTACCTTTAAAGAATCTTGTTATCTCTCCACATCCCTGTTCAGGACTTTGGATCTAATAAGTGGGCAATAAGTGTTTAATAAATCCAACGATAAATGCCAACTGGAAACTCACAATGTCCTCTCCACGTCTGGAATGCAGTAAATCAATGTTAAAATATACGCCACAAATCGGTTACCTTGTCCAATATTTCTAAATGCCTCTTCGTTAAATAACAAAGGTAGAATGAAAAAAAGGTATCAGATGACAGGCATTTCTGAACCCCAGTGTGGAGCTTGATTTTTTTTCCTAGTTGAATTTCAGATTAATAAACATGTAAACAGAGGACCAGCGAGTACAGTGGAAAGCGTCCAAGCTGATTTGTGGATACAGTATAAATCCTTAGTTCCTGGCACAAAGGAGACAGGGGAAAGAAAACCCAAAGGTTCCCTCTTACACCTTATCCAGCATGAATCAAAGTGAAAAATCTGGTATCACTACAATGAAAATTGGATTTAGCTCATCAGCTAAAAATGAATTCTTCTGGAAGAAAACAGGGCAGGGGCTGTCAGAGAAAACATCGCGTGTGTATCCTGTTGATACATCAAATATCCCCAGCCTGTCTATTCTCACTCTTCAGCTAGATTTATGCCAGATTATATTTGGGGGAGGTTAGGGGAGTCCGATCCCAGAAATCAGTGAAAGGGAAACTGGAGGGATGTGACTAGAGGCAGGCTGTGATGTGTGCAAGCATGGAGTGAGGCAGGTCAACACCTTTAAATGGAAGACGTGGGGGTGTCAACCAGCCGAATCGGCCACCTACCAAAGTGGCAACGGCTTACTGCCTGTCTCCCGCTCGAAGACAAAGCCCCACTTCCCGTGCGTTCTGCATTCAGTGTATTTACAGTGCCTCG